ACAAGGTTTTGTCATCGTACCTGATGATGACAAAACCTTGTCGAAACGTTGTACATTTGCTGTCATGTTCAACTTATATTAAAGTTTTTCTTCATTACCCATTTAAGCCGTCTCCAGCCATTATTAGTCTCAAAGTGGGTTCCTCGTCATCGAATGTCTCAGTGACGTCACCGTTCAATATATCAATTTTAAAAACCCTTAAATTTTATTAGTAGTTTCTCAAAATCATCACTAAGTGTTATTTTAGCTTAGAAAGTTGTTTCAACAATATTTAATTTTAAATCCATATAATATTAATAATTAGATACACTGGCTAAAGTATTTGATCTTATATTAACTGTGCTAAAAAAAAAAAGCAAATTCCTAATTAAAACACATAAAATACTGAAAAAATAAAAGACTTACTATGCTGTAGCTTTACTCATACAATGTCCATAGAGGTTATACAAGTCATAATATTGGTGCCGTACTTTGTCCCACAGCTGCCATGCGTCCATACAAAGTGTAGAATCAAACAGCTGTCTTTTTCTAGCTTTATGGTAGGAAATAGAAAGCAGAATTGTGTTAAAAACAAATATGAGAAGTTAAAATATTAATTTTTGTGTTGTATAGTTAATAAGATAATTCCACGTATACAATAACTGAGAGAAGGTAATAAACATATGTAATGTTTACGTCAAATTCTTCCTGTCTATGAATTAAGGCTAGAAATACAAAATAAATAGTAAGCGGTAAAACAAAGCTAAGATCAAAAACAGCCAAAGCAAAGCAATAAAACGCACATTTTATGAATAAATGTACTTACGAGAGAAAATATTTTAAAAGTACATTTAGGGGCATTTTCACAGCTAGTGGAAAAATGTCCTAAAGTTATGTTTATCCTAGATTCAGTTGCAAAAGCAGGGATGTAAGGTGTGATGTTTGCAGGGGCGTCGAGAGACAGCCCAGGTCCCGGGGTCAGTAATATCATCGGGCTCCCCTTTCATTCTATTTATTAACTTTTGCTGATTTTTCATAAAAGAAACTTGGGTGACAAATTTCTTCATCAATCCATGAAAAAGCAGTAGCCATTTCAGCTCATAAAGTAGTGTTCATTTATAGTGAGCTTTGAAATATCCTACATCCTCGTCAGCCCTGGATGTTTTCACAGCAGATAGATATCAAAATAATTGATAATTTTCGAAAAAAAATCTGGCATTGATTACTTAGCTTTAAGGTATACTAAGAGACTATTAAAAAATAAAAGAAAGAAAGAAGTGAACTTGTTTTCGGTAAATTGCATGAGTAGGCTACCGCCATGAGCAGTTTTTATGAATATTAATAATAATAATTTCTATGCTTTTTGTGTTAACCAGGTGGTTTACTGTACAAGTTCTTCAGAAGTTATTTATTGATATTCCAAACAAATATATCACAGGCAAACCCTTAGAATCGTAACGGAGTATACTTGTAATCATGCGACAAACTCGAATTTTAGCGTTATAAACCCTAATTTTATAGCTAAACCACTGGAATCAGACTGCATAAAAAAACGCGTTAGTTGGCCGATACCTTAACAGTGATATTTCTTTAAAAATTACGACAAACGTATTACAATCACATATTAAATAATTGTTTGTTTCTAATTTAGCACAAAGCTAAACAATGGGCTATCTGTGCTCTGCCCACCAGGGATATCGAAACCCAGATTCTAGCGTTGTAAGTCAGCAGACATACCGCTGTGCCACTGGGGGGGGGGGGGGCTATTAAATAATGAAGTTAATCAAAACTCTGATGAACGTTATTCAGTTATAATTACACAAACAACCTGTTAATATTTGTGGTAAAACTTACCAGGTATATAGGGTGGATAATTTAGATTGTCTCGAAAACAGCCATTAACTGACCCATCCACGTTGTTAGTAGGAGTGTTATCTGTCTGAGAAATAAATAAATAAAACAAACATAGCAAAAATTGTAAGAAAATGTACGATACGATCTATTTCCTCGTAATTTAACTTAACATGTAACAGGGTAAAAATGTTAAACCTAATAATTTAATTAGCTTAGACACATAGAATATAAAAAGTAAATTTAGCGACTGATAATGAATAGAAGCATATAAATCAGCATATTGAACTATTCAAATGCTCCAATACAACATAAATTATTTATAAAACAAAATAAATTCACGAATTTTAGTTAAGTGTTGTGTTATTATTTCTAAAAGACGACTGGAGTTGTAATCTATATCTAAACTTGTTTTTTTCTTAAATATATTTCTTCATTAATTGTAAAATAGAAAGTGCAATTTCAAATACTTACAATCCACAATCCATCAAACTTTATCTCCTTGTGCAAGTTCTCTATGTTCTTCACCCACCACCTCTGAGTGATGGAGTTCCCGAAATCCGGAAATACAACTTTTCCACGCCAATTCTGTGGGGGAAATTAAGGTGCTTAATGCTGCAATTGACTTTAAAACGAAGCTTTAAATAATAGATATTTGTTTGATAAAAGTTACCTAGATATATATATTATATTGATTTAGAAATATTTATTTAATAATGCGGTGGGCAGTTTTTGTCACTTGGTTTCAGAGTAAGGAGTGGTTCTGAAAGTGTGGTCTGATGTTTCTTCTTCTTTTTTTTTTGCGAAAGAAAATGGGTGGGATAGAACAGGTAGTCGGTCCGTGCAGTCGTTTGCTCCCCCGAAGTGGTCCGCAACGACTTTTTTCTATCCAGTGTCATGTGTTTTCTAAGTTCACTTATTACAAACAACGAACAAAAGTGTTTCGTACTGAGGCTGGCAACCTAAGTCCCTATTCATAGCAGTGTGGCGAATGTTTATTATGTGCGAACAATTTATGAATTCTGTTGAAGTAGGAACGTTGGTACGAGTACTCATAAAGCAGAAAAACGTTAGAAGTTTTTCAAATGCTTACATGCGCACAGAGGCACAAACAATTTCCATTGCCGTTACCATATATGGTGCGTCATTTTCCATTCACATAATGGTTTGCAGAATATTTCCAAAATGCGGTTTGTCACGTTTCAACTCTTGTGATAGATAAACAAAACTATTTCTAGGTTATGGAGGAAGAAAACAATCTTTGTCTTATTGATTTTCTTACCCTAGATTTCAAGCCCAATTATAATACTTATGCATATATTCGTCATACCTTGCGTGCTATATGTACTACACAGAAAAAGGGAATCAACAATAATATCACATTTATACAAACTAAGGTTTATTTATATCATCTCTAGCTATATATAGATGAAATATATAAATTACGATATACCCCCCGCACGCTTTCGAAGAGTTTGTTTATTTGTTGGTAAGCACAAACCTACACAATGGGCTATCTGTGGTGTGCTAACCACAAGTATCGAAGCCCGGTATTTAACAATCTGAACCCTCAAATTTACCGGCAAAGGGGGTGGGGGTAGATTTCGAAAGGCATATTTTCTAAAAGCGGGTGGGGGTTAACTAGATCATTTAATAGCAGTTTATGTTTCAATCGTGATTTTTTCTAAGTATTATCAAAGTTTTCTGAATACCTTTCCCTCCAGGGGCTGATGACCCCAAGAACTATTAATGAAAACACCTCGCTCGATTCCAACATCATACGCTGGGTTGGTCCCACTTGGTTGACCACTGAGTATTCCAGGACTGAGGTTAAGAGTGATCTTTAAATGTTTTTTATGTATTTGTTTGGTTAACTGGACAAAATGTAGGTTCTTCAAGTGACTGTAGTCGAAGTCCTTGCTGCTGAATCCGAGGTAAAAATGTGCCACATCCTAGAGAAGATAAACATAAAATTGCAACCTGTTATATTTTCACTAAGAGCCAAATCATAAAAATAAACGTTCTGCTAGATATTAAGAAGCATTTTTCGTTCAGGAGAAAATATGTCGACCTACCATCGGTATTTGTTTTCTGTGTAGCTCCAAAATTGTTTCTTGTAAATTAGCATTTTTCTGTTCAGGGTAGAGCCCAAGATGAAGCCCAAGGGCCCAATACGGTGGCATCCACGGACGACCTACCGACTGAAAATAAGAATAGGAAAAAAATAGAAACTGTAAGAGGGATGTTTTTTAAGTTACAAAATCGAATCTTCACAGCCTACATTCTTCAACAATTAACCACTTACTTTATTTGGATACGCAACATTCATGTTCTTTCCTCAGCTTTTATCCCGATAAAAAGTGAAAAATATCAAGATAATTATTAATTTGTTCTTATGACCTGCAAGGAAGATTATAATATTGTTTTTTTAGCGCAAAACTACACAACGGGCTTTCTACGCTCTGTTCTCTGCGAGGAATTAAACCCCAACTTTAGCATTGTAAGTCCGTAAACTTATCGCTAAACAAACGGGGGACGTTTATAATGTTGTCATAATCGAGATATAATAGTTATAAAGCTTATAAACAACTAAAGGAATCGAAACGTGAAATCGATACTCGTTTAAAACGTTTAGCACATTTACTTAATTATGTTATGTGGGAAACGTGCGTTTCCTTTATCCATGCACTTTCATTCACAATAATACTACATTAGGTAATAGTTCCGTGCCTTGTTAACCCTAACGATTGAGCTTACTTTCTAGATTTATTGCAAAATAGTTCTTGAGTCAGTGCCAACTTCAATTTTTAGGTCTAGACTGAGCGCTGTCCAATGTTAGCTTGCCCAAGTGAGGATCTGAAGGTTCATGTTTCGCATACCGTTACCGAAAACAAGAACACTTCATACTTTGAGACCGTTCTAATCTCATTATTTAATTACAATAGCCCTCTAATCCCATTATTTAATTGTAATAGCCCTCTAATCCCATTATCAATTGGAATAGCTCTTTAATCCCATTATTTAATTACAATACCCATCTAATCCTATTATTTAATTATAACAGGCCTCTAATCCCTTTATTTAATTATAACTGGCATCTAATCCTATTATTTAATTAGAATAGCCCTCTAATCCCATTATTTAATTAGAATAACCATTTAATCCCATTATTTACCTACAATAGCCATCTAATTCTATTATTTAATTTCAACAGCCCTCTAATCCCATTATTTAAGTACAATGGCCCGCTAATCCTATTATTTAATTACAATAGCCCTCTAATTCCATTATTTAATTACAACAGCCCTCTAATCCCATTATATATTAGAATAACCCTCTAATCCAATTATTTAATTACAATAGCCCTCTAATCCCATTATTTAATTAGAACAGTCCAAGAGCACTAATGGAATAAAGGGAAGACAACTAGTCAACAACACTACTTTCCCTCTACTCTATTGGTTCAAAATTGTGGACAACCAGCATAGACAACTCGTGTAACTTTGTGCGAATATCCAAAACAGACCAAAAATCTTTAGACCCGAGTTTCTCTGACTTTTTCATCTTCATTCGACCTTATCCTAGTCCAAGGAAGAAGAAACTTCTATAGATCCGATTAAGCCCGAGTCTAAGCATATATTATTTTTAGGACGCTCAGGTTTGTAAATAATAATAATAAATTAAAATAAAATCCGGTTCAGCCAGAATACGAACACTTTCATATTTAAGGTTCGAACGGAACTGGACTAGGACCTGTTTGACTAGAGCTGGCCCTAAACAAAATTGTGGCCTATGCGAATTTTGTATGCGGCGCCTCTGCCCCTGTAGAATTGACGAGAATTACAATGTCGATTTTGGCATCCCTCGGGGTGGGCGCCCTGTGCAGGGGCACACGTCACCTACACCAAGAGCCGACCCTGTGCCTTACTCATGTTTAGTGTCTATGTAAGTCCTTTCGAATTTCACCCTGCAAATTAATCTTGTAAACACATGAATTAAGCTCTACAACAACTTTATATTTATACGGGAAAAAATGCTTATGATAAATAAAATAAATTCCATATTTATAACAAATCATGAAAATAATTTTCCAAACCTCTGTATATTGTTGGACTACGTTTTCTGGACTTGGTCCCATAAAAATATAGAAATCTAGAACCCCTCCAGTCGTCCGAAAAGTCAGAAGTGGGCTTGAGTAAACTTCTACTTCTGTAAAATTACATTAAGGGCTCAGGAAATCGGAAATATAAGATAAAACAGTTAATTCATGAATAACCGCAAAAATGAAATAGTTATACACACACACACACAAATATGTATATATGTCTTCAATTGGACGCTAGAAAGAAAAGTTTCAAAGATTCTATAATATTTTATTATTTTTAAGTATACATTTTAATATTTTTCTACGCATAGGTATATACAATCGGCATGAAATGTCTATATTATTGTTATTTAATGCATTATTAACCAAAATCAACTATATTTTTAAACATAAAAACATTATCGGTCATTACTAGCAGAAGACTAGACATTTTGTAAATACCATATATCATAAGATAAATGTCACTATATTTATTGAAAATACTTATTAGTGTGATAAATATAGCTATATTGTCACTATAATGCATCATTAACTTATACACAATATTATGTAGTAGACTCCAAATATTAGAAATTCGGGTATATTCTTAATATCAACTATTATTAAACGAAGTGAATGGTGCGTAGAAGTAGCAAGTTATAAGAATCACGTGGCACTTTTTTTATTTGTACAAACTAGAATTCTGGCAGGTTTTAGGTCAAATCACATTAACCCTACGGTATTATATCCACAACTTTCTATACGCATATTCTTTATAGTTACCCATTGTATTGTTATTAGAGGTTAACAACTTTTCTACGACACAACTTTTTATACACATACTCTTTATAGTTACCCTTGCATTGTTAATAAAGGCTAACAACATTCCATGATGTATCTATACGTACTCTTTATAGTTACCCTTGCATTGTTATTAAAGGCTAACAACATTCCATGATGTATCTATACGTACTCTTTATAGTTACCCTTGCATTGTTATTAAAGGCTAACAACATTCCATGATGTATCTATACGTACTCTTTATAGTTACCCTTGCATTGTTATTAAAGGCTAACAACATTCCATGATGTATCTATACGTACTCTTTATAGTTACCCTTGCATTGTTATTAAAGGCTAACAACATTCCATATGTATCTATACGTACTCTTTATATTTAATAAATTGCATTGCTATTAAATATTAACAGCTTTCTATGATGTAACTTACTACATTATACTTACCAATTGCTTTGTTGTTAACATGAATACGCTTTCCATAATGTAAGTGTCTATACAAACATTCTTTCTGTTTACGCATTCCTTTGCTATTAACATCAATACGTTTTCAATGATGTATCTATACAAATACTCTTTTTTGTTTACCCATTGCTTTGCTATTAACATGAATACGCTTTCCATGATGTAAGTATCTATACAAATACTCTTCACACTCACCCATTGCATTGCTGTTGAAAAGCAAAACTCCATGAGCGTCACCGTTCTCTTCAATACACATGTACATTGGATGAAACCTCGAACTTTCGGTTGATGGTTTTTGCTGTTGAAACAGAAGACAATATACATAAATAACATTCTACGATTCAAGAGCTATTGAGAAATGAAAATTGATTGCATTTATTTTTATAGCAATCATTTAGAGATTGTTTAAAACACAAATATCCAACGTCACATAAACAAATGCGTCAGTCACATTTATATGTTTTAGATTATCTCTGAATCCAGAACATGAAGACTGCGTAGTAAGCTCCTGGTTTGCTTATAGAATTCTATAGGATAAAATAATGTTACGGTGTCTCAAATTTTGAAAATGTCTTTTGCAAGTTCTTCTAGCAGTATACATTTTACTAAAGATGGTAAATGTGCCTTAAACTATATAATTTTAATATAAGAATTTCTCTAGCAACATATAATAGAATATCTTCAGATCTCTTACTTTCTGAAAGACGTTTGTGACAGTATAGATAACTCCGTAGAGGATTATACAGAACCATCTAAATACCTAAAGAACTCTCGATTAGTTTGTGCATTATTCTGCCTAGCATGTGGTTCTATAGAATATCAATGCATATCTCAAACTCTGTGCTTTCCTTTTTTATTCCTTTGTAAAAATATTATTTTATAAGCTAATAACATTGGAGGATATTTAGAATGCAGAGCCTATTTCATATAATTCGGCTCCTGTGATCGTGTATACTTTAGTTAGAGATTAATATTTGAAATGACTCTGTGTCTCTTCCTTGTAAATTTCTATAAGCAATAAGTAGTTTATACAGTAAGTCAACTTCGAAGGTATTTCCAAAATTCTCTTCCCGCCTAATGTTGTTGTTTTTTTGTAGAAACTGTTCTATAGGAGATATCAGGGACGTGGTGCTCCCAGAAACACTAATAACCTTACAGGTAAGAACAATAAAGTTAATAGCAACAGAAATATTATGCAGAGCTAAGATGAACTTCCTACTTAACTGAAGGAATAAACATGACACAAAACTGGATATAAAATGAAACTGTAACACTTTACTAAACACACACACAAAGAAATACAGTTCACCAGAATATATATATATTAAAGTACAGTAATCTTTTACGGGGTGCACTTGTCACTCTTGTTACGTGGACATTCCACAAGTTAAAATAAAGAGAATGCATCATTCAGATATTTCAAAGCTCCTACTTAGTAGATGTCACTAGATACACACACAAAGAACTAAACCATCGAATTCTCAACCGTTCAGCAACATCGAGGGGGAGCGACCTATGACAATGTGTAACTAGGAGAACAGCAAGGTAGATATATTCTAGAATGGTCTTTCCATACTTTATATTTAATACTCATGTATGTGTTAATTTTTTCAACTTAGTAAACCTGGAATGTTTACTTGTCTAAAAGAAAAAAAAAAGAGAGATCTGGTAAGTTTCACATACCACAGGATTCTATCACTAATTTTGAATTGTCTCTCTTTGTTGAAATATGTTGTCCTGTAGGAGATTAATATTTTGAGATGCTTCTGAGTCTTTGAATTCTGCTTTCTATATTTCCAAAACTATTTAATGTGCAAAATTACAAGATCATTCAATTATTAAAAGTAAAATAGTACTGGGCTAGCGTTTCTGTTAATAAAATCAAAATAGATTTGAAATGTTTATCATTAGACGTTTGTATTACGTCTTTAACAAGCTTTTAAATTACTAAAGTTATGTAATATCATATAAAAATAGTCATTTGGTAGGTTAAAAACTTGAAATAAAAGAAAATTAAAACATTGACCAATAGTATTGTGTCTTTTGTCTTAAATCTGTATTGATGTATAAGTAGACTTCAGCGTCTTTTCCGACTTCTTCTCTTTCTGCTGAATCCGACAATAACATACCTTTCATATGCTTAATAGCAGAAACTCCAAGCGGTTACATAAATACAAGCTTTCACGCAGATGACGCAATGTAACCACTATTTACTTGTGGGAAATGAAATTCTGCTTCAGTTATTATCGATAAATTAAGAACGAATGGGATATGAAGTCAGTTAACAGTCGTTTGAGTTTTATATGAGTGAATTACGAAACATTTTAAAAAATCAGTGAAAATATACCTTTGGTCACAACAGAACAAAGGTGAAGTAAAACTTGTGAAAATATTATGTATGGAAATTCGATAGACTTTTCCAGAGATTCGCACTAGAAAGGAAAAAAGATCAGGGGTCTTTTTATGTGATTTTTTTTTATCATAAGACTTAAAAATATTCTTTTTAGCCTCCATACTGTAATACATTCGAAACATTATTCTGCTCATTAAGTCTTTTGAGGTTTAAATACTTAAAAAGGATATATCTGTTAGAAACTTTTGAACACAGAAAAATATTTTAAAAGAATATCCTATTCGTGAATTTATAAACATGTAAATGATAATCTGCTAATAATTGTAGAGCAACAAAGCACCTTGAACAAAAACTTGTTAATAACATAAAAAATATGTAAACATAGCCATTAATAATTTTTAAGCAACGAAACACAAAGGGTAACATCCTGATAAATCTTAGAGCAACGAAAAACATTTGAAAAGGTCTATCTCTAGAAGATAGTAAATTATAAAAAATAAATTATTGATAATTTTATAATTGTTTGTTT